TCTCAAAAATAAATTATTAAAAAAAAAAAAACCCTAAGCAAAATAGGAAGAAAACCAAGCTTAAAAGCAACCAGAGAAAAAACACACATACTTGCAAAACAACAATAACACTTATTGCTGACTTTTTAACAGAACTTATGGAGACCCGAAGACCAAAGGGTGATATCTTTTAAGTTCTGAAAGAAGTGAAAAATCTGCTGACCTGAAATTCTGTAACCAGTGAAAATATCCTCTAAAAATAAAAATGAAATAAAGATTTTTAACAAATTAAGAGAATTCATTACCTACACTTCACTCTACAAGAAATGTTAAAGAAAGTTCTTTAGGCTGGAGTGCCTGGCGGGCTCAATTGGTAAAGTGTGCAACTCTTGATCTCGGGTTGTGAGTTCCAGCCCCATGTTGGGTGTGGAGATTGCTTAGAAATAAAATCTTTAAAAAAAATAATAAAAAAAATTCTTCAGGCTGAAGGAAAATTACTCTAGGGGGAAGTTCAGAACTGTAAAAAGGAATGAAGAGCATTGGAAGGGTTAAATATGTGGATACATATAAAAGAATATGGATTGTAATCATTTAAAGCAACAATAACTATATCGTGTGCAGTTTATAACATGTTAAAAGTGTAGGACTACAAAAATGCAAAAAGCAAAATGGTAAATGGAGATAAACTGTTCACAAAGTGGTAAAGAACTAATTTAAGGTAGAAGAAACTTTTAAAATAATAATGCAGGAGCACCTGGGTGGCTCAGTGGGTTGAGCGTCCGACTTCGGCTCAGGTCATGATCTCACGGTCTGTGAGTTCGAGTCCCACGTCGGGCTCTGTGCTGACAGCTCGGAACCTGGAGCCTGCTTCGGATTCTGTGTCTCCCTCTCTCTCTGCCCCTCCCCTGCTCGTGCTCTGTCTCTCTCTGTCTCAAAAATAAACAAAAACATTTTTAAAAATTTAAAAATATAAAATAATAATGCAAAGAAGGTATAACTAAAAATTAATAGAGGAGAGGGGC